CCCTCCCAGTCCCACTCCAGCTGCAGATCTAGGCTTGTTCTTTCTCTCAAGACTAAACCTGACCCTTCCTTCAGGGTGAGCCCTACACAGGGGTCCTTGGGTTTTGCCCAGATGAGAACATCTCAGCCAGTTATCTGAGTTCAGAATTATACGAAGGGGAATATGACCATCATTTTCATGAAACTTTTAAACTGACTGAGCATGGTAACCAAGCATGTAAATCCATATTAGCAATTCTCTTTGCAATATCCCTCATTTTTCCTGATGATAGAGAAAAGAAATTAATTTTGCCTACAGCTTGTTCCCTCTGTTTACTAACTGGCACTCATATGTTCCATTTATGGTTCACCTAAATCTTTCCAAGCTCTTCATTATTTTCACAGAGTCTAAATTCACCTTCCAGCTAAGAGAGTAATAGAGGTGTTAGGAGGCCATGGGCATCAATGATGTTTTGCTTGCAGTGCTCCCCCTCTGCAAAACATGAGCTTTCTGTGCAGCTTTCTGGTGCACCTACCCCTGCTGCAGCTCTGCATTTCAGTGCTGTGTGATGTTGGGAAGTGACAGATTTGTGAGAACATCCTCATTGCTGCACATCTTAAAGTCTTAATGAAAAAGCCGCTACCTGCCTTTAGACTCCTTGCCACAAAGAGCTGGCATCATTCATAAAAATGAACTAAACTGGGATGAGAGAACTGAGCACAGGAGTGGATTTGTGACCATGTTCTGGGCTTTTGGGAGTGTCGTTCTGGGCACTTAGTAGCAGGCTGGGTTTCATATCTGAGGAGTGCAGTGTAAAAGTTCAGACAGTTTGAGCTTTCTAGATAAAAAATGCTTTTGAAAAATCATCTCCAGTCTTCAGCATCACAGTTCTATGCAGTTGCCTGTTCTGTTGGTGATCTTGAGTGGTTAAAATTGAAAAAATATAACTCTGATTACATGGCTGACTAAGAAGTAACTTGGTTTCCTAATATTATTTTTTAAACATTTTCTCTCTCTTTTTTTTTGTAACATACTTTACGAAGCATGAAGTCTTAACTACTTAACAATAGTTTGCTCAAAAATGTTTCACTTGTTTCCTACACAATTTCTGTGACCAGACTTCCTGTGCTTTCGAGTGGTGACAAGCTCTGTGGTCACACAAGAGTGATGCAGGTAGAGAATAAAGTTACACGTGCTTGGAAATCCAGATGAAACAAAGCAACATGTTGATACCACATTTTGTGTGCAAACGCTCTCCCAACAGCCTCCCCAGTGTCATGTTTCCAGATCTGGAAAACAGTTTAAGATGCAGTAAAAAATGGTAAATATTTGAAGTTTCTTCCCCTCGGCCCAGATTATTGAAATAGTAATCCATTACATTGTAAATCTTCCTGTACCATGCAAATCCCTTTAAAAGGATTAGGAGATTGTAACAAAGATGATCATATTTCAGGAGGTACTGGTGTAAATGATACACTTCTGCTGCAGGATTTCATAGAGTCTTCACCCGACATGTTATATGCAGTAAGCCACACGAACAGGTGCTTTACATTTATTGAGAATCTTAATTCAAGTCATAAAAAAAAGAAGATTTGGTTGCAAGGCTGTGTGGCACATTCAGACTGTTGCTCTCTGAGTGGACTCAACAATAGCTGAGGGTGTGCAGTGGAGCAAAGACTATGCAATCAGTGACCCCTTGCCCCTCCACTGGGGGAGAATTTCAGTAAAACACAAAGGAGCTGCTGTTTCTGCTTTTGCTGCTATCACCCCGAGCACTACTGACAGAGCAGTGGCTGGGAAATCTATTTCTGCAATTAGCTGCTTCAGCAAGAGGAGAGGAAAAGTATGTTTTATTATTCTGCATCCCTTCTGTTTCTTTCATGGGATCAGACCTTACTTTGGGAGAATAAGGTAGAAGCATCTGACTTGACTAAATTCCTTCAGTCCACTAAGCGCACACAGTATTTTGCCAGCACTTCGCACTAATCCTTATTCAAGGAGTAGTACTGAGTTGCTATGTAAGGAAAAACAACCCATGAGAAGCATTGGTTTGCACCACTAAGCAGTGTTTGCAGAATCAGTGTTCTCCTGTCATACCTGTAGAAGCAATACTGAATAGATACGGAATTTAAAAACAAAACCCAAAAATAGTCTGGGTTAGTAGCTCAGATTAAACTTCCTTTTTCAAACCTGTCATTCTGGTCTTATCTAAAACCAGTTTCTGTATTTAGATTTTTCATGTCCCTTTGGATTTGCCTATAACTAGGCAAGCCCAATCTGTTTAATTACTACCATATTAAATGCCTTGTTAGCTTTAAGAGACAGGAAAGTAAGGGGAAGTGAAAATTAAGCTACATGGGACAGATTTGCAAGCATAGATTAGAAATCGAGACTGTGATCCAGACAAAATAAATTGAGACTACCAGGTTTCCTTTCTGAATTCTGCATTCTTTTCCCCTCCCTCCCTTTTTTTTTTCTTATCAATCAGTTCAAATATCTTTCCCTTTATATTCAGCAAAGATCACTGAATTTTCACTCTAACAATGAGATGGGAATCTGACCCTTGGTTCCATCCCTCTAGAAACGACCAAAAATTTTAGTGAGGATGATGAATGCTCTTGTTGCCACTGTTGAGAAACAATTAAGTATCATGTACTAACCAGCAGTTAGTACCTCCATAGATGCCCAGTGCTACATATCGAGTACGGATTAAATCTTTGTAAAATATAATGCAGAATTGCTTCTTGCAAAAAATAAGATTAGAGATGAAAAGGGAGGAGACTATTGCCATGTTTGCCCTGGCAGCTAGTGGGGTACATGAAGTGTAGCAAAACATTTGGTGCTGAAAACCAGTACTTGGATGCCTGCAGATTTTAACTTCGGGCTACCTGCAGTTTGGTCCTGTGACCTGGAGTCCTGGAGCAGTCTGGTTGTTTCCTTTGAAAAAGGAATCTGTTTGATGTGTTGTGAGACCATGCTGTGATGTGGACCAAAGAAGGACAGTCTGGCAAATCTGCTTCTAAGGGACATATTGGATGTCCTGAAGGACCATCGCAGCACACCCTGACTTTGATAACTGAATGGGTGTAGAAAAAAGGATTATTTTAATTTTCTCACAGATACCTGTTTTGAAAAATAATACAAGTTGTTATTTTAAAATGACTGTAAGTCTTTGCAAGAGAGCAAATCTCTTTAAGGTTAGGGGAGGTTTAGGTTAGATACCAGGAAAAGGTTTTTCAACCAGAGGGTGGTTGAGCACTGGAACAAGCTCCCCAGGGAAGTGGTCACAGCACCAAGCCTGCCTGAGTACAAGAAGCACTTGGATGATGCTCTCAGGCACATGGGGTGATTCTTGGGGTGCCCTACACAGGGACAGGAGTTGGACACAACGATCCTGACGGGTCCCTTCCAACTCGGCATATTCTATGAATCGATGACATTCACAAATCCATGTATGACCCTAAAAAAGCTAAACAGCAGTGATGAGCTATGGGAGCTTCCTCACATCATTTGAGGCAACAGATTGTGTCCTTGTTAGCTGTGAGACACAACCGCCACATTTAGCCACCTGATCCAGACCAGGGCAATTACTAGTCATGTAAGGTGGTCAGGTGCAAGTCAGATTCAAGGCAGCAAATTCATTATTTTTGGAAGTATTTCTAGCAGCACAGGGGTGAATTTATGCCCTGCGAGGCTACAAATTGCAAAAATTCTAACTTTGGCATTTGCTCCACCCTGTGCTGCTCAGGACTGACGTGCAACCAGTGGGAAGGACCAACGTTTCAGTGCGGCACAAAGCGGTGAGAAAATGGGGATTTGATCACCCAGCTACCCTACCTAGAATGTCAAGTAGTATCTTATTCGGGTGATAAGCCTGCAGCTTTGTTTTTTCCGTCTAATTTTTTTAAAACCACGTCACCGAGCCCCTCGGCTACACTTCGGGTCACAAGCCGAGACGCGCGAGTCGTTCCCCTCACCTCTCCCACGGCAGCCAGCCTGTTTTGAGAGAACCATCCCCCGGGCTGCCAGCCGCCTTGCCAAGCGCACAGAAACAACCTGTTTCAGGC